TTAAGATACTGTTGAAATTATCCTGCTTAGTGAATGATGAAAAGCTGAAGGAATGGTGATTATGTCGTGACAAAGAGGCCAGTTTTAGAGATGGTAAGAAATAGTGAGGAAAATGTGGAGGCTGATTGAATAGGGCAGAGTTCTTAGTGAGTCTTCATCATTAGCAAATCTGTATAATCCAAACCTAAAGTTCATTAGCTTTCTAAACCCAGCCTCTCTGGGAAATTGATGCAGCACAGCCCAGGAGGTAAAAGTAGGAGCTCTAGAGCAAACTACCTGAACTTCAAGCCAGGTGCCTACACTTGTTGGCTGTGAGGTCTCTGGCAGTTTGAATTAGTCACGGTCCCATCTCGGTATTTGCACTGTGAAGTGGGACTGAGGGAAGCATCCAAGAGCTGCTTTGAGAGACTGAATTAGATTTATGTAAACCACTTAGAACAATGTCTGGTACAGCCTAAGTACTCGATGACTCTGGCTGTTGTCATTTTTCTTGTACAAACTGAAAATAACTTTGGAAATATATCACAAACTATATTATGGTTGTGTTCTTTAAGAATAATGAAACTAGCATTTAATCAGTCTTGTTTTCTGATGACATTGTTTTACTCTTCATTTGTTAACAAGGAAAGAGAAAATTTAATCAAGAAGACTAACATCTTTAGGAGACAAAAAGATAAAGTGTGATAATGCTGAAGTATTAATGATTATATTACAGCATAGGACTAAATAAGCCCCATAGTTACCTGTAAGGTCTTAAGTTCATGCTTCACTTGGCCAATTTCTATATGAAAGATAGATATTTTAAAAATTTATTTGTTTAACCAGACCCTAACAAGAAAATTATTTGTGACTTATTAAATAGTTTCACCATTGTCACTTAAAATTCAGTCCACTACATGTCAACAGGAGGACTCGGGAATGTGGTCGGTTTGTGTCAATAGAAATGATGATCATAGCAGCCATGATTTGAAGGTTGGGTGTGGGCACTGACTGTCCACTGGGGAACAGAGACTCACACAGTGCAGGAGGAGTGGGATCTGACTTCTCAGCTCAACACTGTCCCCATGCCCATATGTCTGCCTGCCTTTTGGGAGGTGCTTTATATAATTAATGAAAAATGAATTATCAGACTACTTTCTTTTATGTTAAATAAATAAGTGTAGTTTCAATGAGGAAAATTAAAGACTGATTTCCAAGATTCTATCTCAGGAAATCTGACACAGCTTTAGATCAAATAATAGTGGCATGGGGGCAGGCTTGCTTCAAATTGGACATGGGGGTTCTTGTTTTCAACAAACTACTGAGATGACAGTTAGGAATTTGAAGTGATGAGCTCTGAAAATAATATATAAACACAATAATCAAACAACCCACCTTAATGTCCTTTCTAGAACTTTCAGTCTTTTCAGCTTTGTTTATGCACTGGCTGCAAATATGAAGGACAGGAACACCTGGTTCGACAGAGTTCTCACTTCAGTGTTCATTATCTAGACCACCTTGTGGGACAAGAATGGTTTCTGTAATGCCCAAGATCATCAGGGTACTTTGAATGGGGTGGTATAACACCGCTGTTCCTCAGGTGTAACTTAACGCCTGCTTGCTGGAAACTGTTCCCCTACCCAAAACTAAGTGCCTCCTTTTCAAAGGACTTTACCACTGACACTGTCATGCTTCTTGGAGCTAGTGTGACAGCCTGCCACCCGTGTCCTGTCTGCATGCCTGCAGCTTTCCTTTGACCTCTTCTGAGTCCCCTGCCATCTGAAAATATTCCAGGATACAAGAAAGCCTTGTGTTAGTTCCCATGACCAAAATACATGACAAGAACAACTTAGAGGAGGAAAAGTTTATTTAGGGTTTGTGGTTTTAGAGGTCTCAGTCCGAGGTCTGCTGGCTTCATTGTTCTGGGCCTGAGGTGAGGCAGAACATCATCAAAATCATGGTGGAAGGGCATGCAGAGGAAACTGCTCAGCTCAGGACAGCTGGGAAGCAGAGAGAGAGAGAGAGAGAGAGAGAGAGAGAGAGAATATGAATGAGAATGCATATGCTCAAGAAGGGGGGGGAGGGGGGGAGAGCAAGATGTAATCTCCAGGGCACACCCCCTGGTGATCTACTTACTTTAACCACACTTTACCTACCTGCATTTACCAACTCGTATTCCATTCAAATTATTGATACATCAAATGAATTAATCCACTAATTATGTTATGGCTCTCAAAATCTAATCACCTCTAAATATTCCTATACTATCGTTCATTTGAGCTTACCTTATACCCAAACTATCATTAGCTCCCTTCAGAATCTGAGTCTAAATCCAGACTGATGTGACCCCACAACCCTCTTCACAGAAATATACTTGTAGTCTTCATGCTGGGGCATAGACATGTATGTTTTGGATAAAGTGTCTGTGTGTTTTCTTCTGTAAGAGAACTACTCTTTGCTCAACTGACACCCTGAGCTCCTGAACATCCAGTAAATATTTGAGAGCAACAGCCATCCAGAAAGAACCAAAGATCTTTGCCTGCATTCAAAAATTAAAACTTGATTTTTATATTAATTTTGAGTTGTCAAAAGTTCTTTTTTCCCTCCCTCCCTCCATCCATCCATCTTTATTTCTCATCTATCTATTAGTGGTTAGGGTATCCATAATCCAAACTTTGGTCTCATTTCTTGTATTTCTATAAAACCTTGTACATATTCTGACGATGATTCTCTATAAGAACTTTTGACGAGGTGAGCTCTCAAATACTTCTAGATCCAAACTCTGAGTAAGACTGTGAATACTTTTCCACAGGTAGATCCCATTGATTTTTTTTCAAAAGCATTTTACTGAACTATAAATTTATAATTATTATAAATGCACAATGGAATCTGTTCTTCGGGAAAAGCCAATGAGAAAATAAATTGTGTGTAACACACCAACATAAATATTCAAAATTGGTCTGATTAGCAAATGGTAAAAAGCATATATATTTGTGCACACACACAAATCCAGGATTTAGCTCCCTCTGAGATAATTATTTTGCTCTTCTCTGGAACCATTTTTATGTCCTGAGAAAAGATTTACATCTCAAATAAGCAGCAGGAACAAATTAACTGCCAAGAACTCCTCTCAGTGATGCTGTTGATGGCCAAGTTAAGATGATTATAAATCTATTAAGAAGTAAGTTAACATTGATATGTTGTTCTCAAGATTTGAAGAATGAGATTCGTATTAAGTTATGAAAATGTTTTAAATGGGCCATATAGGCCATTTTGTACTATAAAATATAATTTGATATGCACAAGTAAAAAAATAACTCTAACACACAATAGTCCTTTTCTCAGCTGTACTTCCTTACATTTCTTGAGCGTTACTAGGACTTGGAAATGACTAAAACTGAGGAGTTACACCATCATTTCATATTTTTATTATTAGTAAGAAAATAAGGTAGAATTTTTAAAATAATGTAAAATGAGAATGTAGATTTAATATCAGGTGTAGTTTAGACTCACCTCACCACCACCATTATTCTGAAGAACTTTCCTTTGTTCCTGCAACTCTTTTCTTAGTAACATATGGTACCTATTTGGCAAATTGAATGGTATTATCACATCTATGGGATAAAAAGACTTGCTGATATTCATGATCACTCATTTATAGACACTCTTCCTTCACATAAGGACACCTGATAAGGAAGGTGGATAAGCCACTTTTGTGATTGCGTCAAGCCTAAACAAAGCAACAACTCCAAAGTGAAGGCTTAAGTTTATCTATGACTTTTCTCAGACATTTTAGTACTCATCTGTATTTCAAAATTGTCAAAGGATGATCTGTTTAGGCCGTTTTTTGATTTGCCCGAAACTATAGGAGCCGGTGTGAATTCTGCCCGGATACTCCCTGCATTCTCATTAATCTTTCCAAGCCGCTGTCTCTCCTTTTCCCTAACTGTCTCAGGAGCCTGCATGAGTTGGCTGGTCCAACTGGTCTCTACTGGTCCCCCTTCATGTTGAAGACCATTGTATTTTGCAAAAAGCATCTGTCTTGTGCTTTGTTCATTCAGGACTGTGTTCTCAGCTGTTTCCCCTGATAAAATTATTTCTACCACAACTCTACCTGACTGACAATAACCTTAGTAGATTAATTTACCACAGTGTCTTAATTTTCACTCTAATTGAGTCTACTGGTATTAAACAATCGGGGTTATGAATTATGGAAAATGTCATACCATATCAAAGTTAAGATCATTTTGGAGGGCACAACACTTGAGTACCTCTCAAATACTCAAATCATTTACAGAAGGATTTTGGTAGAATTCGTAATTCAGGTCCATTACCACTCTTGAATGTTCAGTGACACAGTTTGGAGGAATTTGGAAGCACAGCACCTCATTAGTGCTGTGTGCTTGCTGTCATTCTGTCCATTCCCTGTCCACTCCAGTTGTTGGCTCCTTCAGGTGGCAACTGAACTTCAGATTTACTTGTTTCCATGGTGTGGTATCTCCCCTTTCTATCTCATGGCAGGGTGTAGACTCAGTTTAAAATCACAGTCCCTTTTGTTCTGGATTTATAAGTGTTGCCAGGATTGGTTGCAGATTTCATCTGTCCCAAATTTTCAGCAGCCCTGGGATTTATTACAGCTTTGTGGAACCATTTCCTATTGCCATCATTTCAAAATTTGTTTCAACATCCGTATTTTTCTTAAATATATTTTCCTTTTTATGCTATTTAAGATCAGAAGTCTATATTTCTTATTAAAATTATTATTTAATAAAATACAATAACTTTAGGATTTTTGTATGCTTTAAAGTTTCAGGAATTATTGTCCTTAGTCCTTTTTATGTCAAACATTCCATAAATCTCAAGTTTCTAATCAGTATTAAGTCATTGTTAGAGGTACTTTCTCCTATTATTTTATTTAGAAGTTAATACCCATTCTTTTTTATCAAATTACCATTTATAACGTGTCTAATATTGTTTGAATACTATACACTTATAAAATACTTTGTCTTTTATCACTTTAGGTGGAAGAGGCTCTGGAAGCTGTAAAAAATGCTACGAATGAACAAGACCTTGCAAACCGCTTTAAAGAGTTTGGGAAAGAAATGGTGAAACTAAACTATGTAGCAGCAAGAAGACAACAGGTGGGAAAGATTTTGGAAATGCTAGGGGAGAAAATGGGTGAGTTCTCATAACCTTGTAGTTTTATAGGCCTGAAAATGGATCAGTTACAACTCCTTGAAATCCAAGGCTCTAAGTACCTGGAATCGCAAAGACTGCTTCTGGCTGGAGCAGGTGTGATATCACCTTGTCCTGCCCCCTAGATTCTCTGGTCCCTGTCTATAAGTTTCCATGGAGGAGAACCATTTTGCCAGCCTCCCCCGCTACTCTAACCTTCTGTCTTCATTTTCACATATTTATAATAATACTGTAATACAGATATGCATATTGTATTCTGTTTTTTTTTCATTTATTTATTGTCACTTTGTCCTGATAATTCTAGATATCAAATAAAATGTACTCGTTTATGGGTTATTTTGACCCACAAAAGAGAACATGTAATTCCTGTAAGGTCATCTATCAGATGAGCAAATAGGAAGAGAATCCTAGGGATTCAGATACCCTTTACTAATGTTTTAAAGTTGAAAAAACATTTTCCCAAGGATACTCAACTGGCAGTCCTACGTGGCTCTCACCTTAACATTTCCCAAAATGATGCACTTTCTTGACAGTACTCGATAAAGATGAAAGTAAAGTGACTCCCCAGTATTATTATTATTAACACCCAAAACGAAGAAAACAAATTTACTCTGGCTTATTATTTTCTATTGTCTAAACTCTATAATTGAGCTGCTGTTAGAGGTGATTAAAAAAAAACAGAGCCTTGTTCTGTTCTGAAAATGATAATGAAGCGGCATTAAACCACTAACCAAAAATCAGAAGACTGGTTTCTATGTTTATAATTATAATTGAATATAAAGCAGCCACAATTTGAGAAGACTGAGGTTCAGCTTTTCCATCTGCTGATAACTGTGGTCATTCAATCTGCTTACCCCATCGGTGGCCCAGTTTTTGCAGTCTTTCAGCAAGATTTATTGAATACCTCTTATGGGGCCAGATACTGTGCAAATAACTTCAGAGCTAGTGAACAAGATAGACACAGGGCTGTTATTGGAGATTCAGTATAGGAAGAAACTGGCTTAAATAAGTCAGAATGTTAAAATGTGATGAGTGTTAATGATGAGAAAGATATTAGACTTTATGGAAGCCAACAGAAGTGGACATAGCTTAGTGAGTTGGCAGGAGAGGTCAGTTTTTGGAGGACATACCAGATAAGTAGAGCCATGTCACAAGGAGGAGAAGGTGTTGTTTTTAAAATTCAGTGGTTTTTTTTTTTTTTTTGTGAATCCAAGTTCTATCGTGTATACTACCATGCAAACTTCATGCAAGATTCATGTTTTGCCCACACAGGAACTGAAGGACCCTCACTGTAGAGATGAGATGGCAGCTGCCCGTGGAGCTCTGAAGAAGAATGCCACAATGCTGTACACAGCCTCCCAAGCCTTTCTCCGCCACCCAGATGTTGCTGCCACAAGAGCCAACCGAGATTATGTCTTCAAACAAGTCCAGGAGGCCATTGCTGGCATCTCCAATGCTGCTCAAGCTACCTCGCCCACGGATGAAGCCAAAGGCCACACGGGTATCGGCGAGCTGGCTGCAGCTCTGAATGAGTTTGATGTAAGCATCTGGGTTGGATCATGTGCACAGCAGATGTGCATTTACACTGAAACACAAAATGTACTGGAGGTGAATGGACACTACAATAGTGTATGTTTATTTTCCTCTCTTATAAGCTTTTGACATGATAAACTATACAATGTATTCCTGTTATTAGGAACCTAGACTATTGTAGAGCCTAATTCACTTGTCTTTACAGAAACCAACAGCTATAATGATGTTTAAGAGGGCCTGATCCCTTTTAGGTAAAAGGGATACCCATCAGGCAATCATTCAGGTGATGATCTTTATTATTAAAGGGACACATGTTATAGGCAGCTTAAGTGTAGATGGTTTCTGTCTTGTGTTGGTGAAAACTGCCCTCACCACTGGGCATGATGGAGCATGTCTGTAATCCCAGCAGGTTAGGAGGCTGAGGCAGAAGGATTGCAAGTTCAAAACCAGCATCAGCAACTTAGTGAGGCCCTAAGCAATTTAGCAAGCCCCTATCTCAAAATAAAAATATGTAAAACAGGCTGGGCATGTGGCTCAGTGGCTAAGCCCTCCTGGGTTCAATCAGTCAATCAAAAACAAAACAAAGAACCTGTCCTCACTTTCTTCATTTGAAACTAGTGACAAACTCACATTGATCCTACAGAGGAATCTGGGTTTCCTCAGAAGGTCCTGTGACAATCCCACGAAAGGCCCACCTTCTCTACCTTCTACTTTGGGCAGTATTCCCCAGTGGTAACCTATGGTAGGAGGGAAGCTCACTGGGCCATCTTCACGGCATGTGAGTGAGGTTGCACATCCTCAGCAGCCAGCATGATAGCCCTCACCTGCCCAGGTCCAGGTATGTACCCATCTGTGAATTCATTTATCCTCTGTTCACTACAAATCTACATGAGTTGGGAAAGCTACACAGATTTATAAATTATCAGTATCTACTCTCAAGGGTATATTTTTCTGCTGGGGAGATGAGGGAAGTAAAATGCATTGAACACCATTTAAGTGATGAAACAGAATTCATACAATGAAAAATAGGTTACTTAATGGCTATAGAGAAAGTTGATGAGCTTGCTTTTAGATAGGCTGACATAAATTTTTGGCAGTAAGTGACTAGTTGGCTGCTAAAAAAGAGTATCCAGAGCAGGCAAAACAATGATTGCTCATGGCCTGGAGATGGATGATATAATTGAGGAATAATTGTTTCACACTATATTCAGACAGTTCTCTGCAGTTTTCAAAGAGATCTCTTCTTTCTCTTATTTTGTCCCTGTGTATGTGTATGTGTGTGTGCGTGAGTGTGTGTGTGTGAATGTGTGTGTCTGTCTGTCTGTCTTTCTGTCTTTCTTTCTGTCTGTCTCAGACCATATTCTATTTTTATAAGGATTTTTGTAAGGATTAAATACAATGAATTTAAAGCATTTATAACACAAATCAGGATTTAATCTTAGGTAATTATCTTCACAACATTTCAACAGACAGTTGTCAATCGGTGAAAAACAGTAAGTAATTTAATATAATGTTTATTTTTATATAGAATAAAAAACAAAAGATGATAGATTTCCATAATGTAAAACAGAATGAGAAAAAAGATCTAGTCACAAAATGAATACTAAAAATTCTCTGTTGGCTTTATTACTTATTTTAATTTCCTTATTTATATTAGAAATAATTTTAATATAGATAGGAAGTATCTAAAAAAGAAAAGCATAATACTTTCCTGATGGGTAGATTTTACTCTTTGTTAAATAATACTGTGATCCAGGATAGGAAAACTGTTGTCTTTATCAATTTTTATAATGTTCAAGCAATATGTTTTTTTTTTTTTTTAAGAGAGAGTGAGAGAGAGAGGGGGACAGAGAGAGAGAGAGAGAGAATTTTAACATTTATTTATTTTTTCTTAGTTCTTGGCGGACACAACATCTTTGTTGGTATGTGGTGCTGCTGAGGATCTAACCCGGGCCGCACGCATGCTAGGCGAGCGCGCTACCGCTTGAGCCACATCCCCAGCCCCCAAGCAATATGTTTTTTAAAGAAGAGCATTTTATACTTGATAAAGTGATGATAAAATATTTTTTGGAGTAAAAAATGTATGGTTTTATATTTTCAAGAATAAACAATCAGGTCACGCACTCAGATATTAAAACATAATACTCATATATTCATGTTTTACTATATTATTTTAAAAATATGCATTAGAACAAAAAAAGACTTATCTGTCAAATGATATGAAATCACAATCTCAAATGCAAAAGTATTGTAAAAAATAATTTTTTAAAAAAAATTAAGGATGAATAAAATATTTAGTTGGATTTTAGCACAATTGCATTATTATTGTCATAGTTTATTTTTTAATTGAATTATAAACAATAAAGCCTACAGGGGAGATAGTTACAGAATGGAAGGATAGCCAGACCTTACACTGCTGCCACCTTCTGTCCAAGAGGGTGATGACTTCAGCTCCCGTTTTCTCTCTGATTCCAGACCATTTTCATTAATGGTCTTTTATCCCAGTGAATTTAACACTGTGATATTCAAGGGCTTTAGAATCATAAAATCGAATTTGAAAACATCTGGGGAAAATCTTCTAGCCAAGTATGTTGACATATTAAACTTTCAACAATTTTTATTTCTTATATATATTTTTACTGCAATAATATCTTTTATTTTGGACAAAGAAGACTTCAGGAAGTTAGTACATGAATATAACTATTAAAGGTGTAGTAATGACTCACTAATTATATTTTATTTTATGTTATATATAATAACTTCATTATTATATCATTAATAATATATACTAAGGTGCAGTTATATATTATTTTTTTAAAAAAATTTTAGTTGTAGATGGACACAATAGCTCCATTTTATTTATTTATTTTTATGTGGTGCTGAGGATCGAACCCAGTGCCTCACACATTGGAGGCAAGCATTCCACCACTGAGCCACATCCCCAGTCCCTGCAGTTATATATTATTTAAGTATATTAATTAACACTTTATTATTGAATATATATTGATTCTCAAGCTATGTAAGTTATATAAAGCATTTCCTAATACTTAAACTAATTTTTCAAATATTAACAAAAATCAGTATGTGACCCTGTCTCAATTTCAATTCAGAGACAATAATTCCATTTGATATTATTTTTCTAACAATTATCATTTAGCAAATGCAATATGGTTTCAGTATTTACTCAAAATATTATTGGATTTATAAAATACACAGTAATTAAACAGTTGTAGATTTCCCAGCAATTCTGACATATGCAAACCTGGATTCCTTAATGTTTGAAAATCTCTCACTAAAAATAATATATCACTTCTCTTTACTTTATGTAAAAACTACAAATTTCTTTTCTATAATTGCATGATGAATATTTTGGCTTTTTAAACTTCCCAGGATTGCTAACTTGAAATTGATTTAGAATTCACAGGCATCTGTCTTCAGTCCTTAATGCTATTTTCGGATGGTGTTAGTCAAGCCTTCTATTACTGTAACAAAACACCTGATATAATTGTCTTCAAAAAAGAGGGAAGGTTTATTTTAGCTTACAGTGTTGGAGGTTTCAGTCCATGGTTAGTGGGTCCTGTGGTAAGGCAAAATATCAGGGCAAGAGGACACGGTAGAGCAAGCTGGTCACCTTATTGTCACCAAGAAGTGAAAAAGAGGGAGAGGAGAGGACAGTCTCAGTATCCCCTTCAACTACATGCTCCATATGACCAGAAGGCTTCCCCATCTGGGCCCCACCTCTCCAGAGTTTCACTGCACTGCAGTAGCACCTTTAGCACTGGGGACACTTATCCAGACCATACACAGATATTAAAGCCAATTGATATTCTACTGAGTAAAAACCTCCCACTTCCAGGGACTCACTCTTTCTGTCCATAATCCTTATGGGTATTGGCTTACCAGCTTCTCAGTGGGGTGACAGTTGTCTAGGTACAATGTGTTTGAGATGCTAAAGTGAAAGTAACTTTAGAAGCATTAAATGTATTTTCATAGTCCGCATCACTGGCATGATGCCCTAAAGTTGAATTTGAAAGATATTTCATATTATTAGCTGGGAATGTGTCAGATCACAGTTGTATGGAGAGTTGAATGTGGATGTAACTTAAAGTTTTATATTTGATTAGATCAAGGTAAGAATTCGTGTTTTCACATTCACTTGTCTGTTACCATGGGGTTGATTTCTAACTGAGTAGTTACGATTTTGGCTCAATGCTCAGTAACTTTTCTTCTGGCACTGTTACCATACTGACATGAATAGTCAATATGGTGATTAACGCAGCAAGAGGATGAGGGGGGGTAATGAGTATTTTTACAATTTGAAATTGTCAAGACAGTCTCTAATGATACAACAGAAAAAAAACGTACAGTGATTGCTAATCAATGGAAAAATCATCCTCTTTGAAATGTGGCAACTTGAGGTAGTTAATTTTATCTCTGAAAGTATCTACTAAAGAATGCTGCACAGATTATTAAAAAAAATGTAATGACTTCTCTGAAGTAAATCATATATATTATAATGTCAATTTTGACTGCCAGGAAACTTTCAAGATTGGGAGAGGGGAATACTAAAAGCAAGTCTTAGAGGATTTTCTTTTATTCAACAAAGGAGAATATTCTGTATCATATTTTTGGAAATCTTTTTGTAGATAGATAAAAATTCTCTGGAAAAAAACAAATAAACATCAGCCATGGCCCTCTTTATAAGCAATAACTGTAAACATAGAAATTGATTTCATGAAGCCTTTTTATAATCTAAAACTTTTCCCCTTTTTAAATATATAATTTTCTTTTCAATCAGACAATGAACAATATGTCTCATTTCTCTAAAACTTTCTACTTACGATTTTGCTTTGTGCATTTCCCACTAGCCCTGAGAATTTGATTGGGAATTCTCCTTTTCTTGCATTGTATGCATATAGAAATATGTTTTTCTATAACCCAAAAAGAAAAGAAAGCATTATTACTTTATTTACCATATTCTCACATCTTTACTTTTTTCCCTCCCT